TAGTTTATTTAAATTATGTGATTTTTGAATAACACTTGGGGCAAATGTTACATATTGTGTGTGAGAAAATACATAAAGTAGTGATTGAGAACTTATAAATGGTTCGAAAAGCATAATCATAGAAGTGGGAGTTCACTCGAGTAGAGAGGTGGTGATAAAACTATATGGCATATTCTCCTTAGTACTTGACGGGGTACAGTGTTGGAGAATTATACCTCCTTAGTGCCTTTCAAGGTGTGGTGTTGAAAAAGATCTCTTTAGTGCCTATTGAGGTATGGTGTTAGAGATTTAGGACTCCTTAGTATTTGTGTGACATAATGTTGGAGTCATTGACACTCCATTGTATGTATTGGAAGAAACCATAGTCCAAAAGTGAGATAAAACACCTTTGGCTGGGATTCTACCATTAAGGGTGAGCTCAGGGCCAATAAGTGTGTATATTGGTCTAAAGCGAGCCTATGATTTCGTATCAAGTTGATTTAGAGATTCAGTCGGTAGTAATCATGCTACATAATGCTATATATTGCTATATGCTGTAAAAGTGGAGAAAAGTGGTGAAACAAGTGTAAAAGTGATGAAATGTTTGATATGAGTGATATTTGAAATGAAATATGTGATATATTATATTAAATGGTATATTATATTATGCTTTACTTTTATATAAGTGCATGTGATAGTCAATATAAGTGAGTTATTTTATTACTGAGATTTTTATCTTACCCCCGTGGTTATATTTTTACAAGATAGAGCAATGATTAGGGCAAAGGAAAAGAGTCTAGGCCTGTTTAGAGTTGTTGAAGCCATGTGAACTTAGAGGATAGTGTAATGAACTGAATTCTTGGGTATTTATGTGTGGATAAGTTGTCATATGGTTGTATGCCTACTTTGAATAGTGATTTTGTGAAATCTTTGCCCAATTGTATATTTATGTAGCGAAATAAATCAAGGGCTCAGATTTAGGTGTGTATATGTTGAAAATGTTGTAAATGTTAGTAAATCTTAAAAGTCTTTTGTCCCACTCTTTTGTTTTAGCAGTTTAGGCTCTATCCTCTTCTTCCACTTTCTATATCTGTTGAGTGGGGAAAATAGCTTCTTTATCAGCTCTCCTTTGAGTCTTATTCATAGCATCAGGCAAAGTCCTTAAAAGTCTTTTTTATTTGTTTAGCTTGCCACTCAATTTTTTCTAAAGGCTCTTTATGGCCTATTTAGAAATCCTTTTCTGTAGTTGATGGCTTTGCACACAAGTGGATAAGGGCTCATCAAGATCTAATGGTATTAATGAATTAAATGTTGGGAATCCTTTCTCCCTCTTTCATCCTTGGGACATGATGAAGTAGGTTTGCATACTGCACCCACAACACCACTTTCTAAATCTTAGCGTCTTGGTTATGACAAACAAGATCAAGTGTGTCTTGGTCACCGCTTTCCAAATAAGGGCTCATCAAGATGTAATGGTGTCAATGAATCAGATCAGGTGTGTGTCTTGGGCATGGCTTTGGCAAACCAGTCCCATTAAGAATGCTAAAATAAGATTGTTGGCTTGATTTTGGAGCATTGTACTCCTTGTGTAAACCAAGCATGCCAAAGGAGCTTTGTTCTCAATGTATCTTTGAATCAGTGATTGTAGATTCTCAAGGTCCTTTACTATAATTTCCTTGGAGTGTCTAAACTTTTAAGAGTCCTAGAATATGATAATGATTGCAAGGAAGTAACCATTCACTAATAGGGAGTGAATATAGTCTAAGTGATACAAAAGTTCTAATGAACGAAGTGAGAAGCAAGGTAATAAATATAGAAAGCCTATATTAGAAGTGAGGATCGCACAAGGCAAGAATTTTGGTTTGATTGAGAGTCTGTTGTATTGGTAATTTTTTTTCATGAGTTGAATAGAGAACTCTCGCTATGTGTATTCTACCTTTTTATATGATTAGGCAGTTGCTCCATATGTAAATTTGAAATTTGCTAGCCTAAATGGAGCCATAACCACTTGCACGTTCTACAAGAATCAAGCACTCCATGACAAGGGAACATGTTTTAGTGAGTGCTCCGAGCTTCTTAGGAAGGCGCGTATATGGCAAGGGCCTGGTTGCCACTCACTGTGAACTACTTATGCTTTGAGAGTCTAGCCCTTTAGGAACTTATTAGTTGGGCTTGTCCGTATAATTTTTCATTTTAGGCCCTTTATTAACTGGTTCGGCCGAAAAGCTTTTTTGATCCAAACATCTAGTTTTTAATCATGTCTTTCTTCTTACTTTTTTAATTGAGTTGCAACAAAAATAGACGCAGTAGAACTAATAAAATAAAAGAATTTGAGAATACTCTCCGACTTGACGGGTCTTGGTCACGGGCTATAAGGAGGGCGCGGTCTTTGGTGTTGCTTTGTTTATATATATATATATATATATATATATAAGAACAACACACATTAATTAAATAGAAAAATCATAATAATTTTTTTTATTTGATACATGCGTACTTTTCAATAGGGCTGTACATAAGTCCTTCATTCTTGTCTGATCCGAGACGGTCCGATACTATCCAGCTTGATTAAAAACTGATCCTCCAAAATTAAAAAATTAAATTATTTTTTTGAATTGTACTGGATAAGAAATTCGACGCCTTAATCACTTGGTCAAATCTAATTCTATAAATTTATTTAAATATAATTATAATTAATTTATTAAATATTATAATAATAAGTTAAGATTAATAATAATTTAATTAGTCTAATATGACATTGTTGCACGCTTAGGTCACTTATTCGCACCACACACCCATTCTACCATTCGCTCAGCAAACGAAGCGCTAATCTCTCCAATCCACCACCACGTCGATTAGGACATCTTTGTTTATCAAATGCTCGCCTCTCACCTTTAACTTGCATTGCTCCATCACCTCTTTCCTCCGATTCCCGTCATGCCGTCGCCTCTCCTCCGATTCACTTCGCACAGTCGCCTATACTCCGATTCACTTATATTTCAAAGAATAAGAAAAATCTTAAACAAAGATAATAAACGCGTGAAACCATTTCACTTACATTGAATGAAATAATAGATAGTATAAAAAACATTAGAAAAAGTGAAAATAAAATAACGTTATTGGTTTCAGTTTATCTTGAGAACTATATTTTCAACCATATTTCAGAATTAACTGACACAAACATAACAAATAACGTGACTATCTTTTATATTTTTTAAAAAACAATAAACCAATGAATGTAGTGAAAGAAGTTGAAAGTAGTAGAAAATGTTAGTGGGATTATATTAAATTATTTTTTTAAATATTCTTACAGTTTGGTTATCAAATAAAGTTACAGTCAAGTTGAACCGGAAAGAAAGAAATAGTTTATTTTTTGTGATGCATTTTTTTTAGGTGCAATAAAAATTAACGCAAAACAATTAAGATGAAGAGAAGTAAAGAACAGGACACCTTAATTAAATAGAAAAAGAAAACAATGCAAGCGTTTTTTTTTTATTGATATATGTGCTTTCAGTAATGTTTCAAAAAGAAAAAAATCTCAAACAAACACGATACACATGAAAATCATTTTAATTACATACCATGAAACTATAGATGACATCAAAGATATTGAAAAGAGTAAAAATAAATAAATAAAAAAAGCTACTAGTTTTCATTTTTCCTTAAGGACTATGTTTTGAACAGCATTTTAGAATAAACTAACACAAATATTCCAAATATTGCGAGTATTATAACAATTTGATTATCAACTAAGGTTGTTATAGTCAAGTATTATAACAATTTGATTTGTATGATTCCTTTTTTTTTTTTTACTTTTGTTGCATTGCAATAAAAAATGAACGCAAAACTATTAAAATAATAAGAAACAATACATCTTAATTAAATAGAAAAAGAAAACAATGTTATAGTTATTTTTTTAATTGATATATGTTTTCAATCATGTTTCAAGAAGAAGAAAAATCATAAATAAACACAATAAACGTGAAAGCATTTCAATTATATAGAATGAAAAAATATATGACATCAAAGATATTGAAAAGTGTTTAAAAAAAAAAAAACTAAAGCTATTGGTTTCAGTTTACACTAGGAACTGTGTATTCAACATTGTTTCGAAAATGAACTAGCATAGATGTAACAAATAATGTAAGTATCTTTCAATTTTTTTCAGAATAAATCAACTAATGTAGTGAAGAAAAGTTGAAAAGATCAGAAAATGTGGGTGAGATTACATGAAATTATTTTTAATATAATGTTACCATTTGATTATCAAATAAAGTTATAGTCAAGTTGAATTTAAGAAAATAATCTAGTTTTTTTATCATGCCTTTTATTTTGGGTCAAATACTTTTTTTTCTTTGGCTAGTTGCAATAAAAATGATCATAAGGCTATTAAAAAAAAAAATAGAACAATACACCTTGATTAACTAAGAAAAAGCAATGCCATTTTTTATTGATATATGCGTTTTTGATAATAATTCGAGATATAAAATCTCAAATACAATAAATATACAAGAAGAAAAATAATAAACCTCATTTTACTAGATGAAATTGACTATAGAAATTGTACAACACTATCATACTATATCATTTACCAAATTTTTAAGAATGTTATTAACTGAGATTTGAATCAACAACTCCTATCAGTATTCTCTCTGACCTTCCATAACCCCTATTAACAAGACTAAAATTATACATTCACTCACCTCACTAGTACCTCCTTCAATTTTTGTTCTACATGTTTAAATCATTTTAAATAATTTTATATCATTTTTCTCCAATAATTGTTACTCACTTTTTTTCATATATACTCATTTTAAATTTTATCTGTATATGTATGCTCATACATCCATCTTAACCTCCTCATCTTTGCTATCCTAAGCTTATGCTTAAACACAATAAAATATGAAACCATTTCAATTATTTACGACTGATATAGTACTTGCAAGATGGAAGTTCATATACAACAATTTTTTTAAAGTGATATTTGTTATTTATGATAATTTTGTGCGGGGAAAAGTGGCTTGGAAAATTTTTACACACCCGATATAGAAAATCATGTACAAGATTCATATGGCTCAACACAAGTAACGATATACCAAACAGATCTACTGTACAATATCAAAGGCAAACAGGAGAACAAAGAGAGAAGCAACGACATTCAGATTCAAATCATCACATTAAGGGAGCCAAAACTGGTCATTCTTATGCTCTGATGCTCTCTCTCTCTCTCTCTCTCTCGCCCCCCAAAAACCTCATAATCTTAGCCATAACATCGGATTGGATCATTGCACCCCTTAGCAGCAGATTGCTTGCAACCAAATCTCCCACCTTTCTCCAGGTACTGCTGATGATATTCTTCTGCACGATAAAACTTCTTGGCCGGAAGTATCTCTGTAACGATCTTCCGGCTCAACCGCTTCTGCCGCTGTTCCAGAGACTCTCTAGCTGCCTTCTCTTGTTCTTCTGTATAATAGTAGATTCCAGATCTGTACTGAGTTCCCACATCATTTCCCTGTCACGTGAAAAAACATACTGTTAATATTAAACTGTGAAGTACAGGCACTTCAAAGAAGCAACTGAGTCTCCATCACACATGTATTACAGGCTTCAATGATAGTGACGAGAGCCTCTATCATTCACATCAACTTTGGTTAGTGATGATTTAACAATTTAAATTACATATGAACACTTCAAATTTTGTCATGTTACCATGCCTGTGTCTGTGTCCATGGGTACTTACAACTGCTAGGTGGGCTAAGTGTCAGGAAAGGAATCATGTTTTCTGTAGCTACACTGAACTATGTAAAGATTACAATTGTCACCAGATAGTCGATTTCAACACCCATACATGCCCAGGTTAGAGGAACAGAGAGAGGAAGAGAAGCAAGAGGAGCCCACAAAAATAGGAACAGCAAAAGCAGTATTTGAGGAACGGGGTTCTCCATGTATGTAATAGGCTCATCATAGAGGCCCTACGCTTGAGCCAATCTCAAACTTCATAGGTTTGGGCCATTACCTGTACTAAGCAGGGGATAAGATGCGCTGAGTTGGACTTTATATTGGGAGGCAGTGTCATATTTAGAATTAACAAAACCGCGCTACCGTAATTTATCAGTCATGTGTATGTGGTTTCGTATATCATAAATAAATTTGAGATCCAATTTTGGCCAGTAATTCAAAGCCCTAAAAAAACCAAAAACGAAGTAAGCAGTTGGGATGAACTATAGAATTGCAAAAAATAGACACCTTCAATCACAGGGGAACTAATGCAATGTTTGGTAGGTAGAAAAGTACTTTCTAGAAAAGAAATGAGAGCTGCACTTATCACATTTTCTTTCTAGAAAACACTTTTCTGTATACTAAACATGCACTAAGAGAAACAGAGGGCTAGAGACACGAGGCATCAGCTGAACTTCACAAAAACTAAAGCTCAGAATAATTAAATGGTTCGCTTTCAATCATTTTCTAGTGATTCAGTAAACTCTCTATTTTTTTCCCACCCTAACTATAATCTAAGTAATCATAACAAATCCTGGCCAAGAGCAACAGAAGGTCAAGATTCATAGTCATTTGACATATTCAATATTACATATCTGTATTCTCAAGCAAAAGAATTGTTGAATATAATGAAAACATCCCCCCAATGCAATTGGTAGGATAAAAAAGAGCTAGAAAAGTAAGTAGTGAAAGAACTAAACACAAAGAATGTTCTCCCAAAAGTTTCTGCCATGTACATGAAAATCAGAACATAAAGTGTTATTATAAAACAACACAAGAAGATATTTCAATCAGAAATGATCTATTAACCAAAATGAAACCCTCAAATGCTACAAATAGAAACGAGTAATATCACCTAACACAAGTCTATTGTAGAGGGGAAAACACAATATAAAATTGAACAAAATTTAAACAGCTCTAAATAAACCAAAAGCTACAATTAAGACGTTTAAGTCACCAGACAATAGACATTTAAGTCCAGACATAAGAAATATAGATGCCTCACTTGTAGCTTCAGGGGGTTTCATTTATCTAGAACTGTTTTAAGTTTTGAAGAAAACTTAATCAGTTCTAAATGAGACATAAGTCACAACTAAACATTTAATTCAGCAGACAATAGACATTTACGTCCAGACTTAAGACCAGCAAAAATTTGGGAGTAACCTTTGTATTTTCCATTTCTAATTAATAAATTGACATGTTTACCAAAAAGAAATGGATGCCTGGGCAGCTCAAGCTCAAATATCAACTAAAACCAACGAAAATCTGGCCAAGTGTAGGTCTAACCAGAAAACTTACAAAGAAAATAGGAGAAAGTAACAGAAAACTTACATGTACAAACTCACTAGTTCCCTACCTTTCAGAGCCTAGAGTCTCTCCCTCAAAAACAATCACTTTAAAAAACCTCTCTTTAGCAGTACTCCCCCCTCCCCCCCCCCTTTCTCCCTCCCCACTTATCCCATTACATCCTGTGCAACAATTCATCGTAGCACCCAATTGGCAATTCCATCTCTCTTCCTCTGGCCATCACACTAACTGTTAGCACAATCATTGCCCCTTCCATATTTTCTTTTATCTTCATTTTCTTGCCATAACTCATTGACATCTTGGTCCCACAATTTGTGGGTCCATCAATGCCTCACTTGTAACCAAAAAAGAACCTGTTTTATATAATATGTTGTAATTTAAATTCTTGGAAAATAAAGAATATATGTTACCAAACCAATTTCATCAAACATGATTTTCTTAACATAAACCAAGAGCTCTGTGCATACCTGCCGATACAACATTGTAGGATCATGCCTCACCCAGAAGACATCAAGCAAAGTGTCATACCTACATTCTTTGAGATCATATTGGACCCTAACAACCTCTGAGTGATTTGTGGTCCCAGAACAGACATCCTCATAACTTGGATTATGTATGAATCCCTGGCTGTAACCAACTTCTGTATTAGTCACACCAGGCACCCTCTGAAAGGCCAACTCAACACCCCAAAAGCAGCCAGCACCGAACTGTGCAAACTGCTGGCCTGGTGCACATTCATCATCATCTGGATATTGAGCTATTGAAGAGTCCAAATTCTCAGGAGCCCTTGTGCTCCCAAACCTAAGTCTGCTCAACAGGTTCATGGTACTCTTGTAGGCAGAGGCATGACCATGAGTTAGAGGTGAGGAGGAGAAACACTTGGAAGAAATTCTAGAAAGTGAGCGAAAGAGCTTGCTTTTAGTGGGATTAAAGATCCAAGAGGAGAGGCACCTACATGCAGCAGAGTATCTGCGGCTGGTTGCTGTCAAGAGTTTAAGCAAAATAACTCTTTTGTAAAGAGTAGACACTTTAACTAAATTTTCCATGCATAAATTTTTTAGGAAAAGATAATGAAAAGGACAAATTAAAAAAAGAACCAAAAGCATCAAGAGAAGATGCCATGAAAATCAAGCGACCATTTTATGAACAAATAATTGACAGATTAAAAATAATAAATTCTGTAACAAAAGTAAATATAAATGGCATACAGCCTTACACTCTAGCATGTATAACTTATTCACAAATAATTGCAAAATAATGTCCCTCGTTGGAGATTGGAAATATATAACCTGGTCAACATATTTCAATAAATAGATCAACCAATTCAAAAACAATTCTGACTGGTTGAAAAAATTTCAGATTACTTTAGAAGGATTATCCACATTGATAAAACAAGAATGTGACATTTTCGAGAAATATCAAGGGGATATATTAAAAAAGAAAGGATGTTATGCAGTTAAAAGATAAAAAGGCTGGAGGAAACAGACAGTAATTCAAAATTGTCAGAACTCTTTTATCCTCGATAGATATTTCTAGTGGATCAAAAATTGTGCAAATGGCGTCTTGTTTTCTCAAATCCGTAGGCCCTGTTCTCTAAAACTCATAACAGCGTCCCACCTTCCTGAGAATTCTTTATGAAGTTCCCGTTATATTTCCCCTAATGTATAATCTCCTCGTTCAAGTGCTTCTCTATCAAATATTTCCCATAAATCCACATCAGAAAACTGACCTAGGCTCGATAAGAAAACAGGGGGGAAAACGATACATAAAATTAGAAGCAAATAGCTCACAAGATCCAGAATTGACAGTAGGAGTGGCTGACACTCCGACAAAAGAAAACCTAGCGAAAGCAATAAAAGGGAATTGAATATCAAGCCGTACCTGATGTACAAATACTCATCTTCAACCCTTCAACCAATAATTCAAATCAATCACCATACAAGAAAAATAAACAGAGAAAAAAATTGAGCAAAAGTGAAAGAATTCAGTAATCCTTTTTCCTTTCAGTTAAACACAAAGAGGAAAAGGGGGTACCAAAATCACCAATAATAAGAATCAAGTAATGAAAAGAGAGATAAGAATTACAAACCTAACAAACTTCAGAATGAGAGATAGAACAATAGGGATCGATACAAGAATTCTAAAAATATCGCTCCGCTGGCGCCAACTAAAGAACACTAGAGCCCAAACCCATACTCTCAACCCATCCTAACAACAACAAAACAAAACTCAGGGCTAATGACGGCACAGTTGATTTGGGAAATGACAACAGTAGTCAGGACGTCAAAACCAATCCAAATTGAAAGAATCGACATGAAGCAACCCAAACTTAAAAAAATCAATTAAAATTAAATAATAATCAAGTCTGTTTTAATTTTTATAATATAAAAATTAATTGGTTTGATTTAAATTTAATTTTAAGTATTAAAAACTGAATCAAACCAAGCCAAACTTAATTGAAAAATATTATTTATTTATTTATAAAATATATAACCATTTATTCATAAGAAGCATTTTATTTTCAATTTTTTATAGTAATAGATAAATATTTTTAAAGAATTTGAATGAAAATGCATAATATTAAATAATTATAATAATTATGTTATGATCATCATTTAATTATTTATAACTTAGAAGCCTCAGTATTCAATTTATCTATAAGAAGCATTTTGTTTTAAATTCTGTATAATAAATTTTTTATTATTTATTGAAATATAGATACATGGATAAACATTTTCAAATGACTTGAATGGAAATGCATAATTTTAAATAATTTTAATGTTAAAAACTCATATCAATTTTTATGATTAATTATTGTTATTACATTGAAATCTTATTATATTTTTATACCTCTACTTATGAAAAAAGGAGCCAAAAAGAATTAGATTTAATTTTAATATATAACACCATTATGAAAAGGTAAAAAAGGGGAAAAAAATTAAATAAGTGCATTGAAACCTGATCTAGACCTTAACCAAACCAAACCAAATCGAAAATTAAACCGAACTAAACCGAGCTCCTTAAAAACCGATCAGGTCCTAGTTATGAGTAAACTGAATGGTTCAATTCGTTTTGGTTTTTGGCCAAAACTAAACCAAACCAAGCCTATGAACAGCCTTACTGCTTAGAGTTTCGGTTTGGTTTACCAAATTAACCGATTTGGACCCATTAGATTCTTTTCTTTAATAGTTTGGTTTGGTTTTTGAAGAAATTGGTTCTAGGTTTGGTGAACTTTTTAAATAAAATATTTAACCGAGCAGCCTTACTGCTTAGAGTTTCGGTTTGGTTTACCAAATCAACCGATTCACCATAGTTTGGACCCATTAGATTCTTTTCTTTAATCAGTTTGGTTTGGTTTTTGAAAAAATTGGTTCTAGGTTTGGTGAACTTTTGAAATAAAATATTTTTTTTATAATTATCAATATATATTCATATTCATAACTATTGATTATTACTCCTTTTATTTAAAAATATAAGATATTTTTAATTAAATTTTATCCTTCAATAGAGTAGTTACATACTTTTAAACTAACATTATTTTTTATATTTATTTTTATTAAACACCTTACAGTAAATATAAAGTCATTCATTAATAAGGACACTTTAAAAAAAAAGATAATAATTATATTTTAAAAGATTAAAAATATTTTATATTTTTAATAGAAGGAGCATTTGTAATGAAAAGCTCTCTTGAGCACAAAAAAAAATATTTTTAACAATTAATTAGATTATTTAATTATTAAAAAGTAATGTATTATCCTTAAAACACTTGATTATAAAATTAAAAAATATTTTAAATAATTATAAATAATATTTAATTATTTGTAAATTATTTTTATTCGTTATTTACAAATAACTAAATTAAAAAATAAAAAAATTTAACAAATTTATAAAAATATATATAATAAATATAATAAAAGTTGGTTCAGTTTAGTTTAAACTTTTAAAAATAAAATAAAAGCTTGAACTAAACCAAATTTATTGATTTTAATAAAAGAAAAATTAAATTAAATATTATTTATGATGACATCAATTTGATTCAGTGTGATTAGTTTAGATTGATTTTAAACACTTTTATTTGTGAGTTATTAATTCCATTCAATCAACTACGATGAAAAGATTTATGAATTACGTGTTCGATAATGGCAATGGGTATCAGGTGTCCGTTCTGGGACATCTGATAAAATTGACAATGGAGAGAGATGTCATTTAAGGCGGAGCCTGTCGGGCCAGCCCTTTTAAGCCCGAAAATAACTAGGGCCAAGCCGCAGTTTTGGAAAGAAAAATGACAATTCGGGCTTAAAAGGGGGCCCTTTTAAGCCCAAAAATAAAAGAGCCAGCCCTTTAAGGCCAGGGCTGGCCCTTTTAAGCCCTTTTATTATTTTTTTTAAAAAAATTATAATATGAAAAAATAAAATATTAAATATATATCTCAAAGAAATGAACATATTAAATACATTCATCCATCCATCTTTTATTTATTAAGATTTAGCTGATAATATTAGCTAAGTTTAATTTTTATTAGTATTCACTTTGATGTTGCTATTTGATATTAGACCTAAATGTTTTAGTTTTCTTTATTGTTATGGTGTAAATTAATTTAAATTTATTTTCTTAAACTTAATTTTATGTATAATAACTTTTTTATAATTATAAATATATTTTTTATAATTTTAAAATGAAAAAATAATTTTAAAAAAATAGGACCGAGACCCTGAGGGCCAGCCCTTTAGCCCTGAGGACTAGGGCCGGGTCTTATAAAATGAAATCCTAACATACAATTGAGCTTATTAGGGCCAACCCGTTTAGGCCCTGGCCCTGGCCCTTCAAAGGCCAGCCTTTTAGGGTCGGGTTGGCCTTAATTGATAGCTCTAGCAATGGACATCAGGTTTTGGAGCTAACACATACGTGATAAGTGAATAAATGCTATGATCTTTTTTCTTCTTTCCTTTTTTGGGGTAAAATTACCTATGAAATTTATTAATTTTTCTCTCTTTTTTTAAACAAAAACAGAGTCCATTTTATTAACCCTTTTTTTCCCATTCATTTTATTAATATTGAAAAAAGTATTTTTTTTCTCTCTCTTACTTAGACATACCTCATAAATTTCATAAATATTGGTTCAAATCTTTGAAGTTAAGTATTGGCCCAAAAAAAAACAGAAATCTTTGAAATATACTAAAATTTAAATTTCAAACAGAATTTTGTCGTAATCTAAAAACTAATTGTAGTTTGTTGGTAGGAAGAATAACAGTCAGGTACTGAAAGATTGAATTAATAACAGTTTAATCTTAATAAAAAATTTAAAAAAATTAATTATAAATATTGATTTAAATAGTTATAAATAAAAATTCTAATTACAATCTAAGTTATACATCTGAATTTAAAATAAAATAAAATGAATTTATTTGATTACATTAAGTTAAAAATAATTTTATAATTGCAAAATTGATTGATCCTAACCACAAGTGATTAATAATTGTAATATATAACGGTGATTGGTAATAACTGAAGTTATTTTTTTATAATCAAATGTAATTTACTTTAAAAATAAAAAACGGAAGTGAGAATATTTTTAAGATGTTTCCATTTTTTATTTTTTTAAAACAAAATATGAAAAGAATTTTAGAAATATTTAAATTTAAAAAACTTACCTAATAGAGTTTTTTTAAGTAAAGTTGTTAATATAGAAAGTGTAATTGTTAGTTTAATTATGAAACAAGTATACTTCCATTTTTGATAGCTTTATCTTAAAAATTAATAAATTCAGTTTAGATATTAATAGTCATAACTTCAGTTTAGTCATGTAATAACAGCTGCATTTCTTCTAATAACTTCTTTTCTTTGATAACAAGGGAAAGACTATACAACAAAAGTATTAATGTCTTCATTCTGTCCCAAAAAAAAAATAGTAATGTCTTTATTATTAATAAGTTCAATTTAATCATGCAATAACAACTATGTTTCTTATCATAAACTATATATTGATCATATTTTGTAATTTTCAAATCCTTTTCAGTCATTTTTTATTCAACTAACAATTAAAGTAAACTTTTATTAACATTAAGAATTAGATTGCATTGTTTACAAAATTAGTTGAAAAGAAATATTGTGCCAAAAATGAATTTAGAATTTCATAGGCTCAAAGAGATATAATTTAAGGGCTAATTTACTCTTTTACCTTATAGAAAATTGAGAAAATCAATGTAAAAGACAATTAAACACTGTAAAATATGATGATTATTTTCTAGTCTTGAGAAACTTGTCAGACATTTTGTTTGTTTGTTTTTAAAAAATCACTTCAAGGTCCTTGATAAGGATTATAATTATCAAAAAGTACCATAAAATGTACAAAATATTTTTAAATCTCAAATCTTATGCAATTATAATTTTGCAAAGAAAAATGATAACTTGGATATGAGTTTAATATTAAGTTATTATTTTCTTTTACTAAGTTAATATTG